ACACATTCCTCACCTACTGGAGTCTAACAGTCAACCAATTCTCTGGAAACGTGAGTCTGCCTACCTTTCTTCCTCTTCAAGTTCAAGAATCAATTTTCCCACTGAACCTGAACTAAACGCAGTGTCTTCCCCTCACCTTTCAGTTCCGGTTAAGCGGTGTTCAGAGCAACACTGGAATCTCAATAAAACTTTTCAATAAAACCTGTTACCGTAAACTTTTCCCCTTGTCTCTCTGGATTGTTTATCTGCATGTGGGTCCGAGCTCTTGACTAAATCATGACAGCGTTAGCCTTTAAAAGTGTTTGAGTTGCTTTTTTCTCATCAATATAACATGCAATATATTTCAGCACATGACTTTTTCAAATTAAAAATACAACAAACACTCCAAAAAACAACAGCATCATCAATTTAATCAAAAACTACTACATTGATATTTCACAGTGAATTATTTTCTATTTACTCTACCTTATATTTTCTTGTGTTGGACACAATGACAGTGGCTAACTCCGCCAATGTCTTCGAGTCAGTCTGAGATAGCCAGACTAATGTTACGCTACATACTATACTATGGGATACATTGGTGTATATATGGATTTTCTTGGTTAGTACATCGACTGAGTGTGAATTTACATGTGAAATGTCTTCCCACAGCCAACAAACTGCTTCTTTTTTTTTTGCAGCCAAATGCTACATACATAGGCATTTTTACTGTGTATCTCAGTGGGAGAAGGCTTCACTTTTTTTCAGGCTATCAGCAATCCAGGGAATAAATAGAGATCAGTGATAAGCCCATTCATTGTTTCTTCCTTTCATATATATACTTCCTTTGCTATTCATATTTGCTGGATTCTCTTCATTTTGTATCTATGTTCTTCCCAAGTGTCTCCTCATTTTGGTTTCAAAGTTCCCTGCCTGCTCAGTCTGGACTTATGCTTCTGTTGGTTCCAACAGACCATGGCACATGTTCCCAGAGAATTCTGGGAGATTTTAACAACCTGTTTCCTTTGGTAGAACCTTCATCTTTTAAATCTAATCCTCAGTCCGACTGGAAGACAATGCAGGAGCATAATGTTCCTGAAGCTCCTACTCACTCAGTCTATCCCATGGTGGCCTTACCGAGAAGTTCCACTTTTGTTTTTCACCAAGTCTGGAAATACCTGCAGTTTTACTCATGTCTACATCTTCTCCAACTATTGATGAACCATTGGTCTTCACAACTATGGCTACATAAAACAGCCAAATATTTTTGTCTTTCTCTTAATAAATAACTTTGTTTGATAAGAACCATTTAAACTTTTTTTACAATCTTTACAACTTAACACAAACCCTTGGACAGTTATTCCATGGCAATGGATTTTTTTTTTGTTTTTACTGAGTAAGTCATATTATATATTAAAAAGGAAAAGAGTTTGTCATCTTTGTAAATCACAGAAATGTTTCATTTTAGCAACAGTGTGTGACTGTGTCAGAGCCACTGGCCCTTTAAGTGACAAATTTGTGAAACATGAAACAAGTTTTATGAAAACTGTTTACTTAAATAGATCATTATTGTGATTTTTTGCTCTGTATTATAAACATATATAAAAATTACTGAGCGTCATCATGTACAGAAATAGTTAATTTTAATAACAAGAGCATCTTTTGCCCTTTAAATCAAACACTGGACCACGAGCAATGGGATTAAATTGGATATGCACTTTGTAGATATATATATATATAAACTTTTTTTTCTCTTTGGCTCATTTGAAATAGTTTAAAACAGAAAAAAATGTTTCCTAGAAAGGTTAATTTGAGGAACAAATCTTTGTAACCCTTTAAACATATTGAAAGATATATTATACTTACAAATTTTGCAGTTGCTAAGGCCCTGTAAATGCGAAGGATTCAACAAAGAAAAAAAATACATGACTTCAATAAATTTTTGCTTATATGAGTAAAATTACAAGCTTAATTTAAAGTCAAGACTTGAATTTTTGAATTTTACCGTTTGATTGCAGAGAAAGTTCAAAATCCTTAGAGATGAGGCTGTTGATGTTGTGGGTCCAACCAGCAAACTGAAAATGAACAAAGACAAAATAATCATCATAGCGTAGATCATGTTACTTTCCAACACTTGGTAAAAAGAAAATGATCAAAACATTTGGGCTGCTGCAGATGTTATGATATATGATCAGTTCTAAAAAGTTAAATAATCATTCGAGCAGGATTGGAGCTCAGTTGTCTGCCTTTAGTCTGAATTGTCTGATTTTTATCAGGTTCTTACTTCTGAGTAACACAGGAAGAAGGCGTTCTCTTCTGTGGTTCTTCACTGTTACAGAGAAGAAAACACAATACAGAAACATGGTCGTCATTATTTATTGTGATGTTTTCTCAGTGAAGAGTGTGAGGTGTTTAGATTAGTCCCAGTGGCACATTCACCTCTCACATCATTTTAGAGGCCACTAGAGAGCAGTAACTGACACTTTTTTTTTTTTTTTACTGTTCTTTTATCTTTGATCACAACCCATCCAGGTTTATTTGCTTGAAAAACAAATCATTCAGACTAACTTCAACCAGCAAAACGAGATAAACAGAATAACTGATTTCAGAAGATTGGTAAAGAAAATATTCAATTCGAACATATCAATTTTTTTTTACATTTCGTCATTAAATGCCACAAGCTTCAATGTACTTAAATGGGATATAATGTAAAACACAAAGTACTGTAAATTTTTATAGTAGGGTTAGATTATCTAATTGGATTATCAGCATCTAACTCTGCTTTGAGTCACAGTGTGACTGAAAGTACTGTGACTGCATGAGCTGCAAAAATCGACATCTAGAGAAAAAGATGGCGCCTAAGAAGGGCTGCAGGATGACAGGAAATCTGAAGACAAGTGTTTGGTGGATTTATTTATTTATTTATATTAATTTATTGTTAGAGAACATTGCATATTAGTATAGCATTACAATAAATACATTTTGACAGAAATTTGCTAAAAGGATTCTCGTTCTTCTCGTCTTCCCACGATTCATTGCAGGATTGATACCAGATAAGTAGTTTATCCAGATTAATTGAAAAATGTTGCCTCTAAACGGCATTTGAACTTGTTGATCTTAACTTTATTTTGACTTCCTTTACCTTTTTATGTTTCTTTCAATAGGGGTCTCAAATTTAAGGCATTCACTTCCTGAATGCAAGACGTTTAACTTGCTAAAACATATTGCAATCCAGGCAGTTCTTTGCTGTATGCATAATGCTCAAACTGATATTACGATTCTTGTTATTTTTGGAAAATATTGCACCTGTTCTTCTCTACACAAATATTTTCTTTAGTAGAGAAAGGTTAGAAGGAAATAAATGTAAAAATAGAACAAAAAAATAGAAACAGTTACCCCCCTTTTTTCCTTTAAAACATATCTGTGACCCCCTTTAAATATTCTGTTTTGTTTTATAATTAAAAAGCACTTGTATTTCAGTTTACATGTTAGGTTGCATAGATAAAGACACTTAATATTTTGGCAGAGAGGGAATTAAGCTTGAAAAGTTCAATTTGAACAGGCACAAATGCAGCAAGGGTTCCTAAGAGTCAGTTTTGGGAACATGTGTAACTTAGTGGACCGATGTAAAGCATGTCAGACTTATGTGTGCCTGCTCGTGTGTTAATGTGTGCATTTATAACCAATGCATGCATTGACATCTCCATCATTCCAGTGTGCAACATCTGCAAAAGCTATGCAGTGATTTAACACTTGTCCTTTTCCCTGGTCTGAGTTTACTGAAGGATGGATGGAGCTAAACAGAAAACTCATTAGAACCTTTTAATTACATTGGCCCAGTCAAAGTCCAGACCAGGGTTATTATTGCTATCGTTAGCTAAAAAAGAAATACAAAAAAGATGAATAATGAAAAAAGTTGTTAACTGAAATACGAAAAAAAACCGACCTTGCAAACAAACAAAAACTAAAAACTATCTGAAACTGTAAGAGTTTTTCAAAACTAATTAAAGCAAACTAATTTTTAAGAAAGAAAGTGTTGTTTTTTTATATGTGTCTTTATCATAATGAGGTTTAGTTTTCGGTTGCAATTTTTGCTTTTTTTCTCCACTCTACTGCATTACATCAGCAGAAGGCAAGTAGGGAAGTGTTGCTGCAGCGTTCCATCTTTATCTGGGATTTTATTCCTATTTTTTTTTCATTCTTTTTAATCTTTTCCCTGGTATGTACGTCATATTACATAAAAGGCTAAAAGCATAACTGACACTATTAAAAACTAAGCTGAAAGTAAGCATTTTCAAAAAACTAAACTAAACCAGCTAACAAATAGGCTACTAAAGATGGATTAAAACTAAAGTAGAATTGACAATCAAAGGCCAAAACTAAGCAAACCTTGGTCCAGACCTAAATTAACTCGAAAATAGATGCCAGGAAATGTTTATTCAACCTAAAGAAAAGGATGGACACAATTTTTAAAAGTGTGTTTAATTTTGATCGGGGGACTGAATGCAAAATAATAAAAGTAAATAAAAAGAAAAAAATGTCAATTTGAAAATCTTTTACCAACTTCTGTTGAAGATTATCCTATGGTCAAAAAAAGAACTCTGTATTTGTAAAGTAGCAGATGTGATAAAAATCAGTGGGTGTAAATGACTTTGCAAGGCTTAATAAAGAGGATAGAGATGTAGCTGTGGTAGTGTTAATTCTTATCGGGTTTTCTCAGGGTTATCCTGTGTCCTAACCCACATTAAGGTCAGATCTCTCAGTTTACATGCCAACAGACAGGCAGGTCTTTTGAACCCCTTCTAGAATAGCAATTATTGATGGTATTCCTCTATACAAATGGGGATCAAACGTAATAACCAGTTATAAAATAAACAACAATACAGTTAAATAAATGCAGGGTTTCTGGATAAGCATGACCTCATGCATTATTTATTACCTTTATATAATTTATTTAATGCTGCTAACCAATAAACAGCTTCAGCCTTCATCCACTGCTTCACATTAATAATCATCTGTACCTTATATTGTATTACCAACATTAAAAGCTTCCTTAGAACAAAAAGCCTTTCAAACTGTCCTCTGGCCTCTGCTCGGCAACACCAGGCCGTTTAAAAGCAACGCATGCTCCGAGTTCATGGCTTCTGGAAAGAGAGGAGCTCAGCTGTCATCGCAGAGACGTGTGAGGTGTGTCCTTGTTGAGACAATCACATGAAATAAATGGGTCACGGGTTGAGGGCAAATCAAAAAGGCATTGCGTATTGTGATGTGGGGAACTGTCAGGTGGATGGGGGTCTATTTTAATGAGCCAATAGCATGATTGCTTTGAATACATACAACTTTCACTATTTATCTTAAAGTGCTTTTCCTTTACGTGACCTAGAGCTAAACTGCTGGCCTGTCCCTGTTTCTCTCACAAGGTAAGAGCAGCAATCATTGACATTTATCAGTAGAAAAATAAAAGTCAGTTAGGATTATTGTGAACTCTGCATGGAAATCTACAACTGGCATTGCAGGACAGTGATAATGGAGCTAAGGCAGTGGCAGCAGCCCAGGCATCTACGTAAGAGGATCTACAATATTTGTCTGGGTCAAGGGAAGTCTAACTTTGCTTAAATAATGAAGGCTGCATTCCCTGAAACTTACACTGCTCTGGTATTTATGTTCGTGAGACACGGCCAGGTCGTTACTTTTGTCAAGGTCTTTATGTGACTTTTTGAAGATGGCAGCCTCCTCTTGACTTTCACCTCAACCTTCTTGGTAAATTCTTGATCGCCTAAGTTAGCAAGTGCAATATGAGACTAACAAAATTTTAGTTAGTGATAGGTCAGCTGATAATGGTTAACGCTTATAAAATGGTTGGCAAGCTGCAGACTATCTAAAGAGCAAGCTGATCTTAAATACTTTGTTCTTTGCTGAAACTTTGCCTTCACTTCTGAAATTTCATTTACAAGAACAGACAGAAAAAAAATGTGACAGAATATATATTTAGTTGCTCGGGCAGTTCAGTTTATTGTTGTTCATTCGTACCTTGTTTGGAGTCATCAAAGCAACAGAAGCATGCAGCACTCAGGAAAGAATGGCTGTAATGTAGCCAAATATAGCTGTGCAACAGGCTCCACCCCAGCGCTTTTTAACAAGTGTACAAAAGAAGTACCTAAATAAGAAGAAAAAACATGTTTTAAAGATGACCGAGATTAAATAATTGAGTAAAAGTTAACTCACATGGAATACCAAAAACATCAGGAACATTAGAAACTGCTCCAACTGAGTAATAATGTTGTGAAGTTAATATTATTGGTTAAACAGTTTGTTTCTTCTTAGGAAAGATACACTGCTGTGATGTCTGAGGGGTGAGTAATGCCATAGTTTTTCCACAATGCATCATACTGTTATGCATAAAATAAAATAAGAAGCTGTCAAATGTATGCCACACAATAAATAAAAGTTGTAACCTGTATCCAGGAAGCTTTTTTAAATCAAAATGTCAGGAATAGCGTTGAGTTTGAGGTTTTATATAGTAGCCCATCTAAACCTCAAACTCGACGCTATTCCTGACATTTTGAATTGAAAAAGCTTCCTTGATGGGAAGCGAAATGTCTTCAAACTTGGAAACAAAAGAAAATTAAACAAAGTTAATTTTCTTTTTTTAGAATGACTATGATCTGGATGACTGAGAATCCTCACCAGCATAAAATACAGAGTCTTAACTAAAAAAAGGTCTTTTGCAAAGCACCCACAACCTTTTTAAAATGTAATACAATATTCCGTTCAGTTCACAGAAAAAATTATGTAAGAAAAAAACATAATATTGGAATAAACTCAAAGTAGAAACTGCAAATTTTTTGAGCAACATTTCATTGAAGAACACATCAGATGCAGAATTATTATGATAAGATTCTTTAAGCTAAAACTAGTTTCAGTTGTCACAAAAGGATTTTTCACAATAGTTAATGAGAATATTGGAAAAATACCAACAAAGCTGCAGGAAAAAACAACAGGAATTAGTTTAGACCTGCATATTACAACAATCTCCTGTATTTTTGACATATTTTGATAAAAATTGCCCTAAAAATGTTTTATGGTCTGATTAAACCAAGCTGGAACTCAAGTATGTTTCAACAATAAACATCACCAAAGAACACAGTACCTCACATTAGATGTGAAGGTGGTTAGTTTTTGAAGTTTTTAAGAACCAGTTGAGGGAAGCTGACAAAAGTATTAAGATCAGAAGGCAAGGTTGAGGTGCTAAAAAGTTTTATAACTTCTTCTCACTTAAAAATACCAGACAAATAACAGTCATCATGTCCTAATACAAGCTTTTGGTACCCAACTAAAACTAATACAATTTTTTTATTTTCTGGTTAAATCAAAATTGTTGATAATATCTGATTTGTTTGTGAAAAAATAAAGCAAATCTACAATTTTAGACCCCCACTACAGTACCTCTATTCACCACTAGGGGGTAGACTCCATGGCAAAGACCTTAGCTATAAATTTCATAAACTTGCACTGAAGAGAGGGCAAATAGTTATGATAATATATGGCATGCTGGCAGAACCAAACCAAAGAAGACTTAATGCTGAAACAAAAATACAAGTTCCTAAAACAAAATACTGATTTAGGGGATGCACACTTTCCAACAACCACTTTTTATTGTTTTCCCACGTATAATTGTTACAGGAGAAATTTTGCATTTTGTGGGACAAGTTTTCAAATGGTGAATCATTGTCTGTTTCTTTGCATCACAAACCTCTAATACTTTAATAAGGGTTAAAAACATATTAGAGACCCACTGTGAATTTAGCACCACTATTGCCATCTGTTTTTTTTTTATTATTATTGTTTTACTACATGTTTCATATGTCATTTTTTCTATGGAAATAATCTTTGGTTTATCTTGTTCTATTTTTTTGTTGATCCATGATGATGAAGCCCGGTGAGTCAAACTGTTATATAAAATAAAACACACAAAAATTCCAATAAAAAATTCCAGTCATGATAAATCACGCAGAAATTACCATGTTTTTTTTTTCCCACAGAGAAAGCCAAAAAGAAAATTTGCAGCAACACGTCGGCTGCTAATAAAAGTAAGTGGTGTAGCTCTACACCCCATAAGTAGTTTTCCTAAGCAGATACCAGATGCACTGATTTAATTTCAGGTGTACAAATAGCATCGAGATAAATGCATTTAAAAAAGAAATCAGTATAAAGTGTCTGTGTATTTGCTGCATGTCTGAATTTATTTTAGCTTCAGCTATAGTAGTTATGTGGAAAAGGTGCAGCAGAGTTATGTCCGTCCAATTTTACAAATCCTGGCCTATTTTATTGCCCAGAACTTGCAAAATTGTATTATAAGCTTTGCAAACCATGCTGTTGGAATAACTATGGAGTTGTATTGTCACATTATTCTAAATCTGGCTTGCATTTCAATGGAGCACTCATGCAAATGAAGATGTCATGGCTGAATCTCAGGCTATTCTTGGCCACCTTAGTTTAATAGTGCATCATAGCTGGAACATTTTATACATTCTACATATCTGCTACTGCTACACAATCAACTAAAGTGTTTCATAAGCTATTTGACCCTGCAACATCAAGACATTGTCTGCACTTCAGACGTCAGGTCTTACCTTGGGATAATAATACTTTCTGATCATTTCAGAAAGTGTGACTACTTGGAATAATTCATAGTATAGAGCACTGAACTTCCATCTCCAGATCATCAAGTGTGAAAAAAATTAACAAGACAATATGTATGTTACATTCTTCATCCTAATATGTATCCCAAACAGAAAAAGTAAACAATAAAATACTACCTATATAAAAAAGACAACATTTGTATTTTATTTTTTAACAACAATAGCCTTTTTACACATGTTCAGATATGTGTAATGAGTACTAAGAAATATTCAGGTTGATTTTCCTTTATATTTCAGAATGAAAATGTTAAAAATATGTTAATGCTAACTATGGGATAAATAAATAAAAAAATATGAATTTTTAAAAAAAGGACCTTTTAAAAATGTTCGGTAAAATGTAATATTGCCATATTCATTTACTTTAAATTGCCTAAAATTATAGAGAAACATATGATGAGGTGGTTCAGTTTTGAAAACCTGCTGAAATAATGTTTTTTTGTAAAGATTTATCTAAACATCAATGGTCAGATATGCACATTATTATTAAACAGAGGATATGTTTAGCATAAAACAAGTATTGGATTAAAGAAAGTAAGTTTATATGAACTGTAAAGCACAGAGGTGTGAGTGTCGTGATGTTAAGAGGCTTTGCTGATGCAGGGTCAGCTAAGCCTCACCATCAGAGGTGCCACCATGAACTCCACAATTATAACATGTATATTACGGAGGGTGAGAAGTGCCACAATGCAATAAATAAATTACTTATCAGATAAATATTATATGTCAAAAATACATTAAAAATGGAAATAAATACATAACTACGTTGACAAATAAATATATATTAAATATATAGTTTTTATTAAGAAGTAAAAGTATTTATTGCACACATGAATACATTTAAGCTCCTGCACAAAGAGGCGGGACTAGAACTGAAGAACATCTGATTGGTTGCTTCTTACTAAGCAAGATAAGACAACTTCTTCCTGTTCTTCATTTTACTGTAAAGTAAATGTTGCAGCACATGAAATGATCAAATCCTGCCAAATAATTTGATGACACATGCTGTATCAATAAATACTTTTTAACTCCTTTATTTATTGGGGCACTCGTCACTTTCCATAGACTGATGTGGCTTGAGAAAAATGCAAGAACAAAAAGAAAAATGCCTTCTGAACAAAGAAAGTCTGAAGCTAAAAAATGCACCACAATTTGACAAAATCTAGGTTTCTGCAATCTATGTCCAGAAAGCATTTTTCTGACCCAGAAAAAAAAAGTATTTTCTGTTAGTTCTAGTCTTCAAAATTTAAACCTAACTACCAATTAGTAATTTAATTTTATAACAAGCAATAAACACACTTTCTAAATTACTCTAAATAGAAAAACTGTCAGCAGATGAGCAAAATGGGACTTGCACCTGACTGAGATAAACTGTTCACATCTAGAATATCATTAGTGTTTTAGATATTGTCTAAAACATTTGTTTGATAGCATCTCACAAATAATGTTCTAGATATGATTTAGGGCCCTATATGTATATAAAAATAATTGCAAACCCTGATTATATCTACCAGCTTTCGATTACTGCTTCATTTTGTTTCAGGGCAAGCTGCTGAAGAAGGCAGAATTGATGCTGGTTGCTGAAAATGAAGAAAAAGAAATGGAGAAGGAAAGAGTTGTGAACGAGAGTGTTCCTCCTCTAAAGCTGTCAGGCCTCTCAGTCCAGGAGCTCCAGGTACTGTAGAGGAAAATAAGAAGTCACGCATCACTACTTGACATCCTTTTGACCGTGTTCTTTTCATTTTTACAGGATCTTTGCAAAGAGTTGCACCAGAAGCTTGATGTTGTTGACGAGCTGCGTTATGACATGCAAGCTAAAGTCAACAAAAATGAAAATGAGGTACAAAAGATTTGAATCAGGGCTTAAATGTCAGTCATGTATGGAGGTGTTGTTATCTTTCATAACATGGATCTTTTGCACAGATTGTGTCGCTGAAGCAGAAGATCATCGAGTTGAAAGGTATGAAGAAGCCCAGCCTGAAGAGGGTAAAGAAAACCACAGATGACGTGCTGGGTGCATACACGGATGCCTCCAAACTCAAGAAGGCTGACTTTAAAGCCAACCTCAAGACAGTGAAAAAAGAAGACGATAAGGTAAAAAGGAAAATTCCGCTCAAATATAAAGATGGACAGTTTACTAAATTGTTTACCATCGTTTGCATTTTTGTTTTGTTTTTATTCTAACAGAAGGAAGAAGTGACTGACTGGCGTAAGAATGTGGAGGCCCTGTCTGGCATGGAGGGCAGGAAGAAGCTTTTCACTGCAGGACAATGAAAAAAAACACACATAGTATAAAGTTATTGCTTGTATTTCCCAAATACTGACGTTACAGATTGCATTTGTTGAGCTTATTTCTTTGAATTATACCAAAATTACTGTTTAAAAGGATGAATTTCATGCTGAAATGAAGTGATTGCAACAATTTATAATTATAATTTAATGTAAATGATGCTAACTGAATTATTATTTAATGCAATTTTGCAAAAGGATTAAAAAAAATGTTTTATGCTTTGAAAGTGTAGTGTTTGTAGTGGACAGAAGATGGTGCTGTTGCTCTATTTGTAATACACGTTAAGCTGAATAAATCACCTTGACCAAATGGATGAATCATCACTCTTTTGTTTTTTTTTATATATTTTTCGTTTTTAAAAGATTTAAGACAGACTGAACCTTCCTCCATCACCACCAACAGTCCATATAGCTTTTTTTTTTTTTTTTTTAAGTCTTAGTCACTCATAACTGCACACAATTTAAAGTTTCAAGACACAACGATCACTTACTGTTCAAAAATTATGTACTTACCTCTTTCAAAGCAACATCAACAACCATATGGGGGGAAAAAATTGGAAAAGCATCTAACTTCCTCACTCTGAGATTACTTTGTGCAACAGTGCAGAGGTGAACCTGGCATAGGGAGATGGGAGAGAAGTGATATACAGTTTGCTGGCAGTCAGGACAGAAGACGCTATTTTGGTTGGCCACTCACAGAAGGCAATAGGAGCTATTAAAATTGAGACTTGAGTTTAGTTCTGGTCATTTAAAGTCAGAGACATATCATACCAACACTTTTTCTGTGGAGATTAAAGCAAAGGTACGTTTTGCATCCGTGATGATAATTTGGCATAGTTATTATGATTTATAAATACATGTGTCTTGGTATAATATCATACTTATACAAATTATGAGTTTTATTGGATTATGATTGCATATTAAAGAGAAATAATTAATGCAACTATGATGATTTTAAACCAAAAAAGATGTATTTGAGCTAGTTTTGTGAGTTTTTAATAAACGATTGCCAAGTTTTATTGTTCTTTACTTGTTTTAGCATTTAAAGCTTGCTCCATGTTAATTTTTTATTTAGAAAAAAATCATTCTGAATATAAATTTTAAAAGGACTGCTTTCTAGTTGGAGGGAGTCCAAATGGGATTAAAAGAGGAATATCATCCCAACTATCCACAGCACTTGGGCATGAAGTGTTACTAATTTAGAGGCTCAGTGTTGGTATGTTGCAGTTCCAAGGTCTGGACGAATAGCCTGAGCAAATCTAATGTGAATAAAATGTGTGGTAATGGCAGAAAAATAGATAAAAATGCAATATTAAGAAAAAAGAAAGCTGTGTTTATGTAAAATATATTGAATATAAAACATAATGATGGAAATACAATCTTTTAACAGGAACAAAAGACATGTCTGAGGCGTAAGTTCTACTTTTTTCAATTCATTTGAATTTATTTAATTATGATCTCACAAATTATTGCATTCATATATTTAATAAATTTGAGAAATTTTCAGCACTAAATCTCTCCTTTCTTTAATATATTTCATCTAATAATGTCCAACACAGACCGGTAAGATTTTTCTTCATTTGTCGCAGCTAATATGAAACCTGATTAATCATTTTGTTCTAAATACATGTTTTATTTTCATTTTAAGAAAAAATCAAAGATCTCTGCATCTCGAAGACTCTTTCTTAAGGTAGCGTCTCCTCTTTTGAAGAGCTTTTTCTATTTAAATGGGGGGATTATTTCATTAAAATGTTTGATACATGACAGACCAAGCTGCTGAAAACAGCAGCTGCAATGTTGGAGAAGTGGAAGGAGGAGAGGAAGGCGCAGAAAGAAATTACTCTGACGGAAAAAGTTCCTCCTCTGGAGCTGTCTGGTTTGTCTCTTCAGGATCTTCAGGTGAGCTTATGTAAAAATTTGTATTCTAAAGTTTTCAAATGTTGTTAGAAAGTATTTGATTTCTTGATAGACAGAAGGCACTTTTTGTGTTTATCAGCGGGTTTCCTCTTGTATCTATTTAGAAATATGCTTAAAGCAGCATAGGCTGAGTTACGATGCTCTATTTTCAATGAGACAAAAGAATGTTAGGCTATTATTTTGCTCAAAGAAGTTACTGATCTATGTATGTTTATCTGCAGGCTTTGTGCAAAGATCTGCACCGCAAGATAGATGTGGCAGATGAGGAGCGCTACGACATTGACCTTAAGGTGTCCAAAAACATCAAGGAGGTCTGGATTCATTCCTTTGGTTTTATCTAATTCATATATCAATTGAATCTTTTTTAATCTTACTTCAGATTTTACTGATTATAAGTACCTCAGCATAATTATCTAATTTTACTTCTTATCCGTCTGGTATCAGCTGACTAAATGCGAAATGTTGGAAAGATCATTGTTTGCTTTTTGAATATTTCCACAGATTGAAGATCTAAACCGGAAGGTATTTGAGCTAAAGGGTAAGATGAAGCGACCTGCTCTCAAGAGAGTGAAGATCTCTGCAGACGCCATGCTGGGAGCTCTGCTAGGCTCAAAGGTTAAAGAGTCTGTGGACTTTAAGGCCAACCTGAAGACTGTGAAGAAAGAGGAGGAAAAGGTAAATACCTCAACTCCAACCACAAAGTATATTTTCTGTTATATGAAAAGATCAGAATACCAAAACAAAGATTCAGTTCATTTTTTTTTTTAATTTATTATAAGTTTTAACACAGATAGCTTTTAACACAGATGCTTTGAAGCCGCAGCTCCCCGTCTGTGGAATGTGCTCCCAGACCACCTTAGGGCCCAACAGACGGTGGACTGTTTTAGAAAAGGATTGAAAACTTTCCTTTTTAGAAATGCTTTCAATTGCTATGGAAGAGGATTAGGTCCACTGAAAAAAAAAAAAAAAGTTAACTGATTTTTTGTATTTTATTTCAGTATAGTATGGGAAGAAAGTCAGAATTCTGACTTTAATCTCAGAATTCTGACTTTTTTCTCAGAATTCTGACTTTTTTTATTGTCAGAATTCAGTCAGAATACTGAGATTAAAGTCAGAATTCTGAGAAAAAAGTCAGAATTCTGAGAAAAAAGTCAGAATTCTGAGAAAAAAGTCAGAATTCTGACTTTTTTCCCATGTTAAACTGAAATAAAATTTAAAAATCAGTTAACTTTTTTTTTTCGGTGGTCCTAATCCTCTTCAGTAAATTGCTGATTTTTAGATTTTTTTTAATAGGCTACGTATGCCTTCAAATGTATTGATTTTAATGATTGTCTTTTACTCTGTTTTTAATGTTGTGGTCTTATAACCTTTGTTTTAATTTTCCCTTTTTTGAACTGTAGCACTTTGAGATTTCAATTCAAATGTAAAGTGCGTCACAAATAAAATGTATTATTATTATTATTATTATAGATAGTCTCAAATTTTTCCTCAAGTTTACTTCTGATAAATAGATTTAGTCAGAATCTCTATGATGTTGAGCCTATCAGAGTTATGCTTTAGGAAAACCTCACCAAATCATAATATTTTTGACTATGTGCTTTACAGCTGGGTTTTGATTCTTTTACTTTAATTCTGTATTTGGTTTTAATCTTTTTTCTACTGATGTCTAATAAAAAAAAAAAATACTTTTGTCTAATTTTTAAAAGATTCAGTCTTAGACTAATAGATTCAATTCCAAACAACATTATTCTAGTAGTCTTGAGGCCTTATGAGGAAAACAATGTGCAGCTTTCAAGCTAAAATGAGGAGAGAGTCATTTTAAAACTTACAGCGAACCAAAAAATGAAATTAGATCTAGGAAACCGAGTATTTAGTTTCTGTTCATCCCTCCTTGTAACATTAATTTGTTTAGAAGCAGGCACAGCTGCAGGTTCCACCTCAGCCAGAGGGTCTTCGGTTATTTTGAATATCAGATGTTAATGTCAGAGGTTGAGGAAAAAGAAAATGTGTTTGACATCTTTATGTTCAAATATTTTAGAATGAATACTATCATAGGGTGTCCTAACGTTTCACATGACTGTATGTTTTATAGTTAGTTAAATGTTGTTAATAATGCTAAGAGTTATTTTCTTTGCCTAATCAGAAGGAGGAAGTGACAGACTGGAGGAAGAACGTGGAGGCCATGTCTGGAATGGAAGGAAGGAAGAAGCTTTTCAATGCCAACCCGTAGATTTATATTCGTGGACATTTTGAGAATAAATGCAGTTTTACAGGGGAAAAAAAAAAGAACTACATATTTTTGGTGAATAAAAATGACAGTAAGTTTTGTGTTAGATTTCGTTGCACTGTTATCTTTTGCACTACTTGCACTTGTAAGACTTTCAAACTGCTCATATGTCCACCGTAACTGTTTCATTGATCATAAAAAGTCTGAAAATATTCATGTTAATAAAATCTAGTGAAAACTAAAAGCTGATGTTTTTATTTTTCATTCTTATGCAGATTTTACAAGAATGCCAATAAATAGGTGCTCACATAAATGGCCGTAAAATCATACGGATGCTTTTCAGCAAACACTGAGATGGCTAAAAGAAGAAGCAATGCACACCTGCAAACAATGCAAATCCTAAACGTCACTGCAGCAAAGTTACTGTAGCGCCACTCCAGCTCCTTTAGTTTTTTCTGTACCGCATGGAAAAACAGTCTAGCAACTAGTATTGAAACGTGAGCTATTCCAGATAATGTTCTTCAACTTGTGATGTTTATTAAAAGAAAACAAAAATAAGAGAACATCCACATTCGCACAATATAAACTCGGTCAAAAACTGCATTGCTTCCAGAATATCTGTTTTCCCCTCAGTCCTTACGTACAGTACGTCAAAGCAAACAAAGAAAAAACACATATACAATTACAGCATGCAGGAAGCCCACAAATATGCATTTCAAATTGCATTTCTATATTCTATGCTTTTAATATTATAGTTTTAAACCTAAATTATAATCTTAACAACAACAAAAAATGATCAATGTTGTATTTTAACCTTTTTTAAAACTATAAATGAATTTGTCCCAAAATGGCTCTTAGTTACAATTAACATAGAAGCGAGGAGAAAAGAGCCTTTATACATTCTTAATTATCTGTCTGTAGAGCGTGGATAGTCTTAACCTGGGTCTGCAATCCATGGCTCTTCATCACCTCTGCTACAAATGATAATGAGCAAACCAATAAATATAGATATACTAAGAAATGTAGAGTTTAGCATTGGGTTTTCCATTGACCAATTGCATTGAATTTCCAAAATAAGTCAATTAGGAACATAGCAGAGATATATAATTTATTTTTTTAATTGGGGAAAATGTTTAATATAGTTTTTCACAAATTTCAGCAACCAATCAAAAATGTATTTATTGTTGTTTTTTTCATTTTACAACCTAAAATCAAAAATTATTCTGTGGTTCTTTAAAAACAACATATCTCCTCTGGTAGATATGAAATTTAAATTTTTCTTTTGTTTTTTTCAAAGCCCATAAAAAGCTGACAGCTCTAGAGAAGTTTTATTAGCTGTACTGAAGTCAAAAATGGCTCTTCGGATTGTAACCTGATATTCAACCAGACACAGAGTTACATTTAAAGGGTTTATTGAAGGGGTGAATAATGGCGGATGAAGCAGGCAAACAGTCACAGTCTTGGCTGAGGAACCCTGGTTGAAAGTGCTGGTTTGCAGGGATGAGCAGAGATCCAGGAGATGTAGGTGGTGACAGAACCAACAGGCCGTGTGGACTGGAGAACCACCAGAACAGGCAAGCAAGCAGCTGAGACAGATTGCACTGCAGCATGGAGACGGGCATACCGTACACTGTACAGAAAAAGTCCTCATAAGTCCAAAACAAAGCTAAACAGAACCATAACTATGGCAGTCACATGCATTGCATTAAATTCAGATTTTTAGTTTCAGTAAAGGATATATGAGGGTTTAAGGGCAATTAAGAATAACTAGCCATGTTAAGTGGGGCAACAGTGGTGTTGGATGCAGGAGTTTGCCCTGTAACCCTATAATTGCAAGACACTTCAGCTGCATTGCCTACCAATGCTGGTCAGGAGGCTACCATCAGTGTGTGAGTGTGTACATGAATGGGTGAATGACTGAATGTAGTGTAATGCACTTTGATCAGGTCTCCTGACTTAGAAAAAGCTCAATATAAGTATAGTTCATTTACCATGTTTTGGGAGGTCTGCCTTTTTACACTTTGTGTTTTTAGAATAATAGATTCTGAAGATCAAAGATTGAATTCAAAATCCTAGAAACTCTGTTCTATATTCTAACCTCTCCACAGCTTTCTGCTGTATAATGACAACTGTGCCGTAATAAACCTCTGAGGCCCAGAGAACAGCTGCACTTCTGCTGAGGTTAAAAACACCGATAGACTACAGCAGAGACTTCTGACGTCAGCTGGTTCAGCTGAATTTATAGAGGTCTCTAAATAACAAAGTCACATCTAACCTTGAAGATTTTTACGTGTTATGTTGTTTCCAAACTATATATCTCTGTCATTTCACTTTTATGTATATACTACTTTGTGTTGATTTTGATCAAAAAACCTTAATAGATTGTATTGAATGTTGTTGCAACATGACAAAATAAACCAGCTCAAAGGGTGGAAATATTATACATACTACAAGTCTGGATGCCCTGTTGTATTACCCTTCTTCATTTAAGCATAAGACAAAATAAACAACATTATTTACAGAAAATTTTCTTAACTGTGTTAAGGATATTTAAGTGTTAATCTTAATTAAATTGTTAATACCCTGCTCAAAAAATAAAAGCAACCCTCAAATAACATATCAAAGATTTTAATGAATGAAATATTTTTATTAAAAACATTGTTCTGTAAGTTAAATTTTCTGATGACAAAATCAGACAAAAATTATCACTGGAAATAAAATGTATTAACTAATTGAGGTCTGGATTTGGAGTCATGCATAAAGTTAGAGTGAAAAAAACAGTAAAGGCTGATCAAGCATCCGCCACCCTCTGGTCAGTCTGTGATGCAATGTGACGTTAGTGGTTAGAGCGAGACATGAGTCCCAGATGTGCTCAGTCGGATTCAGGTCTTGGGAACTGGCGGGCCAGTCCATGGCGTCAATGCATTCATCTTGCAGGAACTGCTGACACAATCCAGCCACATGAGGTCTAGCATTGTCCTGCATTAGGAGGAACCCAGGGCCAACTGCACCAGCATATTGGCTCACAAGGTGTCTGAGGATCTCATCTCAGAAATAAATGGCAGTCATGCTACTTCTGGCGAGCACATGGAGGGCTGTGTGACCCTCCCAAGAAATTACCCCCCCACACCATTACTGACCCACTGCCAAACCGGTCATGCTGAAGGATGTTGCAGGTAGCAGATCACTCTCCAGGGTGTCTCAAGACTCTGTCTGTCAAGTCTGTCACATGTGCTCAGTGTGAACTTGCTCTCATCTATAAAAGCACAGTGAGCCAGAGGTGAATTTGCCAATTCTGGTGTTCTCTGGCAAATCCCAATCGTTCTGCATGATGTTGGGCACTGAGCACAACCCCAATCTGTTTAAGTCTTGCCCTCATACCATCCTCATGGAGCCATAGGCATGCACATTTGTGGCCTGATGGAGCTCATCTTGCAGGGTTCTGGCAGTGCTCTTCCTGTTCCTCTATGCACAAAGGTGGAGATAGTGATCCTTTCGCTGGGTTGCTGCCCTCCTTCAGCTTCCATATCTCCTGGTGTACTGGCCTGTCTCTTGGTAGTGCCTAGAGCCTCAGGACACTACGCTGACACAGCAAACCTTCTTGCCACAGCTTGATTTGATGTGCCATCCTGGATGAGCTGCACTACCTGAGTGAATTGTGTGGACTGTAGAGTCCATCTCACCACATGTGTGAAAGCACCACCAACATTGGAAAGTGACCCAAACATCAACCAGAAATCACAGGGGCTGTGAAGTGGTCTGTGGTTCCCACCTGCAGAATCACCCCTTTATTGAGTGTGTCTTGCCAGTTGCGAATAATTTCCACCTGTTGCATATTCCATTTGCACAACAGCATCTGAAATAGTCAGTGTTGCTTCCTAAGTGGACAGTGTAAATTCGCAGAAGTTTGATTTGATTAAAATTCAATTGTATTGTTTATGTGTTTATTTTATTTTATTTTATTTTTTGAGCAGTGTATATACATCCAACCCAAAAACTGTGTTTGGGTATTTTTTGTTGTCTTATGTAACTTATCATGGGTGTACGGTTTGTAGCCCTTTTATGAGAACATAAACCAAGCTGACCTCACACTGGCTCAGTTTACAAACCATTCAGCTTCGCAGACCAGCTGTCCTTGTTCCTCTGCAGGCCAAAATAACACTGAAACAACCTTTGGCTTTTGTCTTACCTCAATTCAGCTTGTACAACGTGTTAAGACTACTGACACAGTATGCCATTACAAATATGTAAGTAATAAAAGTAAAAATGGTGATGAAAGGGGTTGGTGGAAGGGTTGCAATAAACACATGAATATGTCTGCTTTCGTAACAAAGATATGAAATAAGGAAAAAGTAATATTAAGGGGAAAAACAAGTGGGATTTTGTTGGAATTAATTACGTGGGATTAAAACACCACCTTTAGTTAAAATTAATATCTGATTACTATAAATTTATAACCTGGGATGGTCTATCACAATTATGAAATCTTGAAATATACTGATCTTTTTCTATAACTAAATGCCTTGCAAAAAAGAATGATATAACTATAACTTTTTCCTTCCTCTTAATCATGAAATCTTAATTTAAGCCTTACCAGCAGCACCACTTAGTCACGTATGTCTGACCCTCACTGTGGGCCTCTCTAAGGATACGCTGCTATATCCACTAATAGATCTCATAGAAATTTCTTTGCATATTTAAATATCTGAACCCACGGTACAGGTTTTATGACCCCCTTTGCAACCCCTGTAAATGTCGCTGCTGGTGGACAGACAGTGACCGTAAAACAGATATGCCCCCATTTTACAGGAGACACTATAAATCTGAGTGATGATTTTCCATCGCCTTTTAGAGAGACAAGGCAAACAGTCAGTTATATTTCTAAGAGGTGTGTTGCTGCCTGTAAGTACATAAAGTTGTTTTCTGCTGTTATTAATGTTTCGTTCTGAGTGTGAGTATTTTTCTCTTTATTTTATAGCAGCTAACAGCGACTGCTTGGCCCCTTATTACGTCAGAGCAGCATCTTTGTCCTCTCAGGTCCCTCATTGCTTAACATTAGCAGCTGGTTGAACAGAGAGTTCTCACATGCCTCTGGATTATCTGTTCACTCACCTTGCTTTGTCGCTTATGGAGAAACTCGTCAGTTTTATTAACACTTTCACTGTTTCTGCTCCTCAGTGCACTCACTTCGAACTTGTCCAAATGTTTTAAAGATTTACAATTCATTGCAGCTTACACTGAGCAATTATTTGCATTCCTTGGATTAGTTTATAGAAATGCTTGCATTTAGTTAAGACTAATCATTATAAAATATACAGATGGTATTATGATAAACTGAAGCAGAGCTGGGGTTTGCAATGGATTTATTTCTGATATACCTTTATTTTCCTAATTCTAGAGTGGTGATTTAAGGCAGTCATGTCAGATGGGTAAGTGGTATTACAATTTGTGGGTTTTTGTTTGTTCAATTAATAAAACTGCATTCTGATGCTTGAATATTAAAAATTATATTTTTTGCTAATTAATTCTCCCAAAAGACTGGTATCAGCAACAGGAAATGTTTTACAGCACATTTTTTTCTGTTAGACCTTGAAGGCCATAATAAAATAAATATAGATGTAGATATTTTTCCAGACAATAGGGGATACAAACATTAAGTCATAAATGTTCTTTCTGTGTGAATTACAGAAAGAAATCTAAGATATCCTCTTCTAAAAGGCTGGGATTAAAAGTAAGATTTTTAGAAATTTTATCTCATATTATTTGTTCTTTTGTGTAATTATCTATTAAATAGGTATATTTTGTGCAACAATTACCTTTATTACTCTAGCCTTTATAAAGTAAAGTGTACAGTTGTGCAGTAAGAGAAACAGGTTAATGTTGGTCATGTTCTAAAAGGGAGGTTTATATTCATAGTTTAGTGAGACAACCTAAACAAATCTAAATAAAAGATGGGTATATTTTCCCTCTTAGATCAGGCTCTTGGCAGTTGCCACTCAGAGGCAGCAGGAAGAAAAAGAGCAACAGAAGAAGGAGAGAGAAGCTGTTCTGGCGGAGAGACTTCCTCCGCTGAATCTGGCTGCTCTTTCTTTACAGGAGCTGCAGGCATTTCTCTCTGATTCGTACATTCATTTTAAGTTCAAGATTATTTATTATTACATATATTACACTATTGTTGTTCTTGTTCAAGGACCTATGCAAAGAACTGCACCACAAGATCGATGTTGTAGATGAGGAACGCTATGATGTTGGCCTTAAGGTTTCCAAAAATGACAAGGAGGTACGGTCTTTAGGAATGAGCAGCAACCTAAAAGGAATGTTAATTTTTTTTTTTTGTATAAAAAGTGCTTCTTTATAACCAAAATATTTGGATACTCTACGATTTTATCCAAAGCATTCTGTTTTTTCTTTAATTTCAGCCGCCTACAATTAGTAATTAGTAATGGAATCACTAAATACTTCTTTTTATTCCTGATTTTGATCATTTCCCTGGGGAGGAATCCAGGTGCATTAAGCCATTAGTTTAATTCTATTCACTGAAATACATCACTTACTAGTTGTCAATATCTTTACTTTAAAAAATCCAACTTTTTGACGTTTGTTTAACTGCAAGATGAAACCTGTAATGACAAAAGTATAATAATGTACAATAATAATAACAAAAAAACATTAGGCTTTTTAAACCTTCTTGAAACATAAACAATTTTTTATGCATCGTTTTGCAAAATGTCTCTAGCTATGCTGAAAAAGAGCACACTTTATAGTGGTTTGATTGAATGCTGGTAGAAAAATGACAAAAACTGAAAAGGTGCCCTTTAAGCGAAGGCCTGTCTCTGTAGTGCAGAGCTCACATCATTCTAAATGCATAAAACCCCGTAAGTCCAATGGACCTAGTACCAGGCAGAGAGGGTAAAGTTCACCTCTCACCATCTGTCAAAGTAGGTCAAACATGGTAGAATATTTTTTTTCCTGAATCTCTTGCGGGAAGATTTCTTAAACATGATGCTTAACTGATTTTTCCCCCAAAAAAATACTTGTTTTTTTTTATCAATTTCCACAGGGAACAAGCAAATTAAAAAATCTAACAAACATGGTTGGCAGTTCAGAAAAATGTTTCAGGACACAGAGTCTCCATCTGAATACATTAAATTGTGGCATCCTAGCTCCTGTTCCCTCACCTTAATGGAATCAACAGTAAGGAATCAATGAGGATAGGAAAGGAGGTCCAGGCTGTTCCTGCTGCGAAACACATAAATGATGCTTGTGAAATTGGGACTGCAGCCCTCCAAAAAGGAAACTAAAAAAATGAGACAAATAGCCAAAGCCCTTCATTAGACCTATATAAACATATTAAGTCATGTTCATTTTCATGTAAGCATAAAGAAATAATATAGTTTTATTCATTTCTTTGAGGTGTCTGTGTTTATAAATGCTGTTATGTAAAGGATGATGGGATTCTTTATAGCTCCTAAGTGTTAGGAATCTTACAATCTCACTATGCTAAAGAACCATGATAGGAAGGAATTCAGGCTTCTTTTCCAACCTCCTTTCTTACTGCTGGCACAATTTAGACATCACTTATTACTAGGACCTTAGTGATCTGATGTATTCGGATTCAGGCAGATACATTCTTGCTCCGCCCCTTATGGCTGGTATCCTTGGAAACCAGACTGCAGTGTCACACATAATGAAAGTTATGAAAGAAGTAGATATGTAACTTCTATGCTTCATGAACTGTTAGCTTTCCAAACTGTTCCAAACATAATTGCTGATTCAGTTTAAATGTGGTGACCTAAGGCTTTGCCATTTAAAGAATCATAATAGTGGAAACTGGAATGTTTATTTAAACAGATTCTCTTTTATAAAGTTAATAAACACATAAGGCACAGTTTTGGCAAAATTGGCTAGATTGTGCTAAAATTTCAGATCTTCTTGGCACAGGGGTCGACTCAAAATGTGAATGAAATATGCTTAGATTCGTTCAGTCCTAATTTGCTGCAGTTAAAGTAAAGATGTCGCTTCATATAATCTAAGAAGCCTCTTAGGTTTTCATAAAGACATTTATGGTGTTTTTCACTTATAATTTTGAAAAAAAAGTTTTTCTTTGGTTGGTTGTTTGTTTTTGCTAAATTGTAAATAAAGGAGACATAGTTACAGCTGTTACAGAATTTCCACCTCTTCACTTTAGCTGGTATCAAAAAGTTAAATCTAGACCTGAAAATTGTGAAGATATTCTTCATTCATTTCAGTTGTGTATTTTCAGGAAGACTTCTGAAACCTTCTGGGCTGAACTAATTAAACACATATGTCTCCTTCTTCACCTCTTTCTTGTGCTGAGCATAACCGTCAATACAACAGCTGAGAAGGACACAACCACTTGTTTCTAAATTGAAAACTTTTGCACTCAATTTTACTGAAGCCCTCATGCCTAAAATCAGCTGAAAATGGCACATTTATGATCACAGATTTATAATTAGAGTACAGCAATACAGAAATCTATGAAGTTGGAGCCTCACCAAAGGGATCTAAAGGCATCACTTGCCTGTACATTATATATAGGCAAATATCACAGAAAGTAACATGCCTGCCTCTGTGTTCAGGTCTCTACTGATAAGGTAGATTGATGAAGGTGATATGATCATGTGTTTCCTTGTGCAGATTGAAAACATGAAACTGAAGATTACTGAGAATCACAGTAAGGTCAAGAAGCCTCAGCTGAAGAGAGTGAAGATCTCAGCAGAAGCAATGCTGAGTGTTCTGCTGGGCTCCAAACACAAGGAGTCAATCGACTTTAAAGCAAACCTCAAAACTGTCAAGAAGGAAGAAGAAAAGGTGAAAATGATTTTTTTAAAGTGTCTTTAATTCCTAAAATAATATATTTAAGGTTATAATTTTTTTTTTCCAACAGAAGGAAGATGTTACTGACTGGCGTAAGAATGTGGAGGCCATGTCTGGGATGGAGGGCAGAAAGAAACTTTTCGATGCTTCTGCCAACTAAAGGAAGAAAACTCACAGTGTTATTGTTTTTCTCAAAATAATAAAGAAGGTTAAATGTTTACTGTAACAGAAACCTTAGGATAACGTGACGTCATCTACATGTCATATTGCTGTCAAAATTGCAGCAGAAATTGAACTTCCAGCAGGTGGCAGCAAAGCTTTTTAGATTTTTAACAACCTGCAGAACATTTTGGACTTTTAAAATATTTTGACAACTTGAAAGTTGAATGAACTAATTTTCTCTTTGTAAACTGGTATATACTTTGAAAAACTTCCAAAGTGTGGTATAGAGATAAAAAAAATGCACAGATCAATAAAAGAAAATCTAAAACAATTAGAAGACTACTGTCAGCTTAATTTTGCTGACAGGCTTTACATCACAGTAACAAAAAAGTTCAGACTATTCCACTAATGGACTTTATTTCATACATAATGTGTCGCTAATAAGGTGGTAAAAATGGGATTTTTTTTCTAGCCACATGTGTACTGAAGAACATTTATATTTAGATCTAGTTTAGAATGGATTCAGAATAGTTTGCTACGTGCACATAGATCTAAAATAGACACACACACACCCACTATAGTCATCCCCTGATTAATTTATAACAGATATTTATTCACATAGCATATATGGCTCTAGATTCCAGCTTTGATTAGGTTTACTTAAAAATAAACAAATAGTTAAAAATATTTAGGTTTGTTAAAGCAAAAAGGTGCCTTTTGATTTCTTCATTGATCTCACAGAGGAGAAATGTATGCGTTACATCAGCTCAAGTAGTGAAAGAAGAAGAATGTGCCAAAGGAAGAAAAAGGTGCATGGGATATATACAGTATATTGCGTGCGTCCATGTCTGCTTTCTTTATTTATTTATTTATTTATTTTTATATTAGGATCATTATACAGGGTTATTGTAAAGGGTATTTACATGGGTATTTATATACATGGATATTTATAATTATAATTGTAGTTATTGCAATGTGTGTCAAATATAGAGAAACAGGTTATTGCACAGGGTATCAAACAGTAAATTGCACAATATACATTGCACAAGTTATTGCCGTTGTTGTGTCATATTGTATAGTCTGGTTTTAGCAGGGATGAATGACCTGCAGTAGCGCTCCTTTTTACAAACAGAGTGTAAAAATCTTTCACTAAAGGTGCTGCTTAGCTCCTCTATAGTCTGGTGCAGAGGTTGGAAGGTGTTGCCCATGATGGATGTGAGCTTGGACAGTACCCTCCTCTCAGCCACTTCCTCCACTGAGTCCAGAGTGCAGCCCAGGACAGAAGCAACCTTTCTCACTAGTTTGTTCAGTCTGTCCCTCTCTGTGTTGATGCCACTACAGAGTCATAAAAGGTTTTAAGAGGGGCCTGCTCACTTTAAAGGACCTCAGCCTCCTCAGGAGATGGAGGCAGCTCTGGCCCTTCTTTTTCTGTGTGTCTGTGTTTTTATTTCTGTCTAGTTTTTTATTTATATGTATATCTAGGTATTTAAAAACTCTCCACAGTTTCTATGTCCAGCCCCTTGATGTTCATC